TAGCAGCATTCCTATGAGAAGACAGGAGGTGAAGACTCTCCGGCAGTCTGCAGGCTAGCTAGCATAGTGAACACAGTGGTGAGTCTCTGCATCAGTTAAGGCAGAAGGCCAGGACCAACATCAGAAGTTGTCCTCTGACGTCCACATGTGCACCATGCTACATTCACGCAGGTGTGTGTGAACCTCCCCCCCCCAAACATTTACACATTATAAAAAGAGAATGAAGCTGGGTGGTGGTGGTGCACTCCTTTAATCCCAGAATCCGGGAGGCAGAGACAGGTAAATCTTTATGAGTTCGAGGCCAGCCTGGTCTACAAGAGCTAGTTCCAGGATAGGCTACATAGCCACAGAGAAACACTATCTCAAGAAAAAAAAAAAGAAAAGAAAAGAAGAGAGAATGAGGGTATTTCATCTCTCTTGCTGGCCTCCATCCTTCTACACACCACTCTCTGCTGACACCCTTACCCCAGATGAGGAAGAACATGTTAGGATGAGCACATTTGGTGAGGAATAGGAAGAGTACTATAGGAATTATAATACACTATTGAGGGAGATCTTATTTCCTTCAAGTTTGACAGAAATCTACTGCACTGGTCTCAATCTTCCATAAAATATGCCTGCACGACCATTGTTACAAGGAAAAGATCAGATGGGTGGGAACAGGGGCTTTAAGGTAAATTCTATCTTTTCTCATTATAATGTTTTGTTTTTGCTTTTGTTTTGTGGGGGCGCTGTTCTAGAGCTAGCTCTTGTAGAGCAGGCTGGGCTGGAACTCATAGAGATCCGCCTGCCTCTGCCTCCCGAGTGCTGGGATTAAAGGCCTGCGTCACCACTGTCCAGCTCTTATTATGTTTTAGAGATTAGAAAACCTTTGAGTAAGATTGTTATTGAGGAAAAAGTTTCTAGAAATTATACAGAAGTAGTTTAATTCACACACCAATGATGAAATTATATTCCAAGTTATGAGTAGAGAATATTTCTATAAAAGTAAACATGTTTAAAGTTAAAATGGATTTATTTGGTATCTTCAAAATAAATGATTTCAAAGACACTTTGGAAGGTGGTCGTGAGAAGTTGAAAGAAAAAACGTAAGAGTGATATGAAATAATGAAATTCTAGGAGGGATATGGCATTCTTTTAAGCCCTATCGTCTTGCAGAGAGATCTAAAGTAAGGGAGGAGTTACATGGCTGTTTTACCATGGTTTCCTTGACAGCCCATGAGTGCATTTAGCTCCATCTTTAACACTGGTTATCAGTTAGTGCTGTTCTCTCAGCCCCATCTAACAAACCAATAAGGGATTTTGGTCCCGTGAAAACAGAATATGTTGATACTGTCCCCAAAGAGAATTTTCATGTCTTAACAAGTTGGCTTAGACTTGTTGATTAGTCTCTGTCTCTGGCCAGATGGGGCCACCCGAAGCCCCAGATGTCATCCTCATAGGCTTTATGTCTCTCCCCGCTAATGCCATTTAATCTCTGCTCTGATTCCTTTTCGGTGACTACCACGTGAAACAAAGAAGAGATGATGAAAAAGCGTATATGGTGGAAATACCTGTAATCCCAGCAACCAGGATGCTGAGGCAGGAGGACTGCCCTGAGTTTGAGGATAGCCTGCAAGATATAGCACATGACAGATCTTCAGGCCCTGTATCAAAATTGATAAATAGATAAATAAATAACTAAGGATATAAGAAGAAAGTCCTTCATGGGTTAGGACTGCTTTTGTATGATTTTTTTTTCAATGGAGAGACTTACATAAAAAAGTCCTTTGTATCTTATTGGAAACTGGACTGATTCTGGGATGAATTGCCTTCAGTTGTGTACCCAGCAGTGAGACCAGCAGGCGGCAACACATAGTGCTGAACCTGTGGCTACACAGGTGCCTCTGGTTAAAACCAGAGTCTCAAGACACCAAGGAGACTTGACTGTGAGAGGGAGGGGAGGAGGGGAGGAAGGGAAGAGGAAAGGGAGGAAGGTAGAGATGAGGAGGAGGAGAGGAGGGAGAAAGGGAGGAAGGCAGAGCTGAGAAGCAGATAAGGGAAGGTTGCGGGTGTGAGTTGACCAAATGTAACCAACACAAATACTCGGCCTATGAGTCTTCTTTTAGCTGCAGTTCTCATTTCAGCTCCAAGATCTGGCCACTTCTCCCTTCTTTCTCCTGCTCTTCAATTTGCTGTAAGTCTAAATGCTTGTTCTTAAGTGTTCTTTCTCATCTGCGTTAAGGGTGTTTTGGAGATGGTGGTGTATAGAGGGATAGGGGCCAACAAGAGACAGGAAATACCCCTAAAACTTAGGTACCCCCAGACAGGGATGGCAGGTCAAAGCTGTTCTGATGCTTGAGTCTTAGAAAGGATGGTCACTAAGAGAGGAGGGTCTTTTAGCTCCATACCCTAGGGACACAGAAACCATTCATTCATACTCAATAAACACATGGGGTAGCGCTGTGAGCCAGACACAAGTCAGATGGCAGGGACACAACCACGTTCCAGATGAGGACGTACGTGTCCCACTGGAGTTTGTAGTGAGGAGAAGACCAATATAATAGACAGATAGAGTCTAGAGTACCATCGACTCTGAGGTGAACAGTACCAGGTTTTGTGGAACACATAGGAAGTGGTCCCCATCTTTGATGTCAGAAGTCACTGAAGGCCTCTTGGAGGAAATGCCGTATGAGTTGGTATATGAGGGGTGGGGCTGTGGTTCCATGGTTACAGATATAGTAAGAGGATTGGTAAAGGTCCCCAGATGGTTAGAGATATAGGTAAGAGGATTGGTAAAGGTCTCCAGATGGTTAGAGATATAGGTAAGAGGATTGGTAAAGGTCTCCAGATGGTTAGAGATATAGGTAAGAGGATTGGTAAAGGTCCCCAGATGGTTAGAGATATAGGTAAGAGGATTGGTAAAGGTCTCCAGACGGTTAGAGATGTAGGTAAGAGGATTGGTAAAGATCCCCAAATGGCAAAAGGCTAAACTGAATATTTCTGGTGTAGACATGAGAAGTAAAAATAAAGGTACGGGGGCAGTGGAGGAGGGTAGGAGAGGTGTTCTGGGTTCCTTAGCTGGGTCACGACACGATGTGATGTCATTCCTCTTTAAGGAAGACGTCTGTAGTTTTGATGTGGACTCTGGCCTATAGCGTCCCAAGTCTGGAGCAGACCTGTGGGCATATGCACAGGGAAGAATGATCCGTGGTCAGCAAAAGTGTCTTAGGTGACCCCACTGCCTAGATAGGGACAGGGCAGTGAGAGGCCTTTGGAGGGATGGTTTGGGCAGCCTTGTAGCCGATGGACTGGAAGGTGGACAGGAGGGAACGGGGGTGTTTCTAATAGGTTAAACTTGAGAACTACTTCTGCTTCTGAGAGCACACGGCAGCAATAACCAACCTTCCTCTAGACTCATCAGGTTTGGAGTCTGGGTACCAGGGAGGTCTAGACTCCTACTGTCAGTGCCTCTTTTTGTCAGGCACGCCCAAGGGTGGTAACAGGAAGACAAATGGATGGTTTCCGGCGTTTTGAACACCGAAGGATCCATATTAGAACAGTGGGTGTTGATGAACTTCCTCTTAAATGTCCTTTCTTGGAATGGCTAAGCCAAATGCACCATTCTTCCCCGTATCTGGTGTCTGGTGGCTGCCCACACAATATTTTTTGAGTATACTTAGTGCCTTCTGCATTTAACATCTCTGCACAGGAAGTAGATATATCATTTTTTTTCTTTCTAATCAAAAGAATGCCACCAATTCCATACGTGTGCTTGCTCTGCTATGTGTTTGCAAAGTAGCCTGTGCTCATTTCCACGGGTTATGAATGTTGGTGTAATCAGTGCATTTGCTCGTGGTAAAAAGGTAAGGATGGTATTATTTTATTAGTGTTTTGGGTAACAGCCAGGAGAAGGCCATATCTATAAATAAGTGAGTGGAACATTTTGGATTGTGTTTAGTTGCAGGCTGATCAACAATTCCCTGTTATATGTCGCCCCCACATTCATAGTTACCAGCTCAGGCTTTGTGGGGGGAATTATCAAGTACATTCAAGTGAAAGGCAGATGCTTGCACAACCCCAAGAGATTCTAACTGCTAGAATGTTTGGGGTGAACTAGAAGAGTTGATTCAAACTTAACCCCAAATCCAGTGCACATATATGCTTACCTGGGGTTGCCGTGAAGTCTACCGGGAAGTTCCAAGTTCCACCATGAAGTAATGTATTCGAATCTGCTGGGAAAAACTGACAATAAGGCAACTTAACAGGACCGAGAAAATGCTGTGAACACTGGATCCTTTAGGATGAAGATCCAAAGAAAGATCCAGGGTGAACCAACCATTTTCATGGGCAGCTTCAGTGAGACAGAGTCATGTGGTCTGTGATGGGACAGAAAAGGTCTGGGCCACCAAAGGTGCTGATGTGGAGAATGTTCACAAGACCCGTCTGCCCAGATTTTTCTTAGCCTTCATTTGTGATGTTTTTTTTTTCCCACTGGGGTGTGGAGTTCGACCCTTTAAGGAACGGGGGTGAGGGTCTTATAACCTTTAGTTAAAAAATATATCAGAGGATTTTTTCACAGACAGTTCTATATAGAAATATGATTGGAGGTGTTTAGGGACAGTCATTTAGCTTTTCTGGCTAGATTTGGGGGGAAGGAGCTCTGGGTTCTGTGACCTGTCTTAGGAAGGAGGAATTCTAACCTCCAAGTCTTCTTTGGACTGTAGGGAAGAGGAGATGAGGGATGAGAACCGAGAGGGCAGCAGGTCAAGGAGAAGCCTTGCTCCTAAAGCCTTCACTTTGAAGTATGGTTTTCCCATCTCCGATACATTTATAATACAAGCATGCACTTTTATGGCACAGGATCATTGTTAAACACATTAAACCAATCTTATTGTTCTTTATTATATCAGCAACTTGTCGTCTACATTTGTGTAGGAAGACAGCCGAAGAGGGTGAATGTAAAGATACTGAGTGTCTTTCAAATACTAACACATGTTTCCCTTTTTAAAAACATATAGGCCGGCGCTTGTGACGTGGTAAAAACTCAGGGGGATGATGTTCTTCAGTAAGAAGAAGCTGCCTGGTAAGGCTTGAGTTTTTCAGATAACACAAAACAATAGGAACTGTAATGCTATTTTATATTGGAGGCTTGGTTTAGTCAGAAAACACATACATTGGTTTAAAGCTCAAAAAAGCTTCAACAATTGTTTTTACCCATGCAATTCCCAAGGGCACATGAAATAAAATACGGAAGTTTCTATCATGGCATCAAGTCCCTTGTGTTGCTGGGTTCACCCTCTTGGAATCCCCGGCCACCTTCTGATCTCTGCTAGTTTACTATTGCCTATTTTAAGATAAATAGAAATGAAAGAATACAGCACATATTCTTTCATTGTGAGTCTTCTGCTTAGTGTGAAAATTTCACTGTATGTCTATCTGTGTGGCTGTGTCTATCTGTGGTTTGTTCCTCATTTTTTTCATTTCAAAGCAGTGTTTTATTGCATGAATACAGAAATACTTAAAACTGCATCCATACAAGACAAATGAGTTTGGTCAAGGAACTCAAAAAGCAGGAAACGTACTTTTTGGCTTGTATGTGTGTTTTAATTATCAGTCTCCTGAAAATAGGTTGAATATAGCTTTTCTGAGATAACTGGGGCCAGAAGTTTTTTCTGGGGCTTAGTTTTTTTGTTTTTTTTTTTTAGTTTTTAATAAAATAAAAAAATTAGATTTTGGAATATTTGCATAGATCTTTTCTGGTTGAGTACCCCTATCCTGTAAATGCAAAAAAATCCGAGATTCTCCAAAGCTCTGAAACTCTTAAATATCATGTCAGTGCTCAAACAGTTTGAGATTTTAGAGCCCTTTGTGCTTCAGAATTTCAGGGGTGCTCAGCTTGCGATAGCAATGGCATTCCAGGTTCAGAGAGTGTCCTAGTCAGGGTTCTATGGCTGGCAAGAGACACCATGACCACAACAGCTTTTATAAAAGACAGCATTTAGGTGGGGCTGGCTTCAGAGGGTTAGTCCAGGGAGCACGGCAGCACACAGGTAGACATGAGAAGGGGCTAAGGAACTAAGAGTTCCACATCCGGATCTGCAGGCAGCAGGAAGAGAGAGCCACTGGGCCTCCTAATCTTTCTCAAGGAGTGCTCCTCCTGATGACTAACCATTCATATATATGAGTCAATGGGGTCATTCTTATTTAAAGCACCCCAGAGAGTTTTGCTTTTTCATTTCATCTCTGGTCAGTCAATGACAGCAACTATGCTGTTATTTCAATGAACATTCTATATCTTACTACTAAGACTTTATTTTTTTGACCATAGTTTTTTAAAGGTCAAAGGTTGAATTTGAGTTTATTCAGTGTCCTATCTCTCCTTCTGACAACATCTCTAGCTGGTGATTGGCTCCTGCATCTGTGATCATTCGCACCAGTTCCCTTGTAGGACACATTGCAATGTTCAGCTTCATCATGGGCTGAATTCTGTCCCAGTGCAGTGTCTACCTGAAGGCTTTACTTATGTCCTCTGTAGAGGGTTTTGTTGATATTCCCAATGCCAATATAAGACTCTAGAAATTTTCCCGTCTTTTTCCATGGTCATATGAAAGCCTTTATGCAAATCGTTGGTACAGTCTTTATAGTGTAAACCCAAGGTTAATCTGCTCAACTGTGGCTGCTTCTAACAAGACCAGGAGTGGCAAGTTTTTGTTATGGTAAGACCATGGTCCAAGATCTAGGCCTAACTCTATTAATATATTAATATAATATATTTCACAAAATTTGGGCTTGTCTATTTTTTTTTATTATGTGTGCTGGTGTATACATTTCCTTTCGTAAGAGATTAACTTGCTGGCTTGTCTATTGAAGGCCCTTAATTATATGATGTGCCTTTTAGACATGCCACCTTTGGGTCTGTGGCCATAAAGCCTAAGGTCAGTGACTTAAATGACCCATTCTATATGATTTTATTTGCCTCTGTTATATTTTGTGTTCTTTTTTTTGTGAAAAGAAAAATAATTTTTAAGATAAGTTTGGCCTTTAGCGGGTCTTTCTCTTTCAAAAATGACATGAAGTTAAGGGAAATGGTCTTTGTAAAACTGGATGGATGTACAAACTAGAGAAATACAATGTCTTGTTTTATGGATTTCATTAAAGAGATAATGAAAAATATAGCTTTTTATTTTGAGACTTTTTTTAACTTTTAAAAATGTGTGTGTGTGTGTGTGTGTGTGTACAAGCACATACATTCTTGTGTGTGTGTGTGTACATTCTTGAGTGAAAATGCAGGCACACAATGCCGCAGTGCCCATGTAGAGGTTACAGAACAGAACAATCAGGCACTGGTCTTCCTCTCACTTGTTTGAGGCAGGGTCTTTGCTGATTTTCATCTGCTTACACCAGGCTGGCCAGCCTGAGAGCACCCAGGGGTTCCTTATCTCCACCGCCATCCCCCTGTCGGAGTTTTAGGATTATAGATGCCTTATGTTGTATGTCCAGCTTTCACATGTGTTTGGGGGTTCAAATTCAGGGGCTCCTGATTGTGAAGTTCTTTTTATCTGGTAAGTTATTTTCCCGGTCCACTTCCCAAACCCTACTTAGAACTTTCTAACGCTCAGGTTAGACAGAAACTAATATCCTCCAATTTCAAAGAAAAGAACTCAAAGTCAAAGGAATCTCAGAGATGTTACTTTAACAAGCTGTGTGTCTGTGGGTTTAACGTTGAATTCCATATCTGATTTCTCTCTCTTTTAGAAGTAGAGCGGGTGGTAAAAGCCAATGACCGTGACTACAATGAGAAATTCCAGTATGCGGTGAGTGACCACACAGCACAGCCTGTTGGGGGAGGTGCTTTACTCAGGCCTAGAAGAGGGATCCATGCCTTTGTAGAATCTCACGGTGACAAAAGGCTTTCCTTGTTGGCCCATCTTGAAAGCGCGGCACCATGTGCTTTCTCTCACACATATCTTTCATCTGCTCTGACAGCTTGATGGGCATGGGAGGATGATAAAGTCTATTCTTTCTCAAGAATTCATGCTTAGTTCACTTTGGTGAGCTATAGTTGCTTGAAGCCGAGTGTGATGCTGGGCATGATGATGCATGCCTGTTGTCCCAGTCCTCTTAGGCTGAGGCAGGATTGCTGCATATGCAAGAGCAGCCCCTGTGGTTTGTGCATGGGGTAACAGGCTCCTAGGGGCTGGGGAGACACAAAATAAAATAGTATTCTATTTGGCCTACATGTTAAATGGACTGAATGAATACCAAAATGGAACTGGCAAGTTAGTACCGAACAGAACCCAGGTGTGGCCAGAGTTGTAGATCTGGGAGGAGCTAGGAGATGTCGAAAGGAAAGTGGAAGCTGTTGGGGTGATGGCTGACTCTGTAGGGAGGGACAGACATGGATGAGATGGCAGGAAGGAGGAAGCCTAAGAAGGGAAGAGAGCAATGGCTGAGGAGAAAAGAAGAGAATGATAGAAGTCTGGGGAAGGTAGCGTCTCAGGAAATTGGTGGCTGATTGGTTCTAAAGGTGGGTTCAGGGGATTGAGAACCATGGAGAAACACTTTTGATTGTAGCTGGAAGACCTTGAGAAGGTGATTTTAATCTTCCCCCTTTTTACAATCCATTAGACTCTATATAACATGTGAAATATTTTTTTCCAAATTCTGAAGGAAAGCCCCCACCAATTTTAGGGTATACTTTGTATTGCCTAGACATAGGTTATCATCCTGTAGGTATAGCAACTTCCCCTACATGTTGGGAATGTAGGAAACTTTGTATAAATAATTGGCCAGAAATTAAACATTAAGATGCAACTTCACAGGACCAAACGCTCAGATTACTATTTAAACCCAGCGTCTGTAGTGCTAACAAGTGTTAGCAACATTACAATGAATATAAAATCTAACCTAGTTCTATATACACAGGAAATGTCACAGGCCTGCATCACGGTATGATAAGATCCAAGAACTCCCGATGGCCAACATAACACTTCAGGCATGTAGTTGCATTAATAAACACAAACTTGGGTGCACCGGTAAAGATCTTGAAGGCATACACACAAAATTCACATTCTTCCAATTAACTGGCAAATCTCAAAGCACACACACACATCACACAGAATGGTGGTTCTCAACCTTCCTAATGCTGTGACCCTTAAATACAGTTCCTCACATTGTGGTGACTCCCAACCATAGAATTATTTTTGATGATACTTCATAACTGTAATTTTGCTACTGTTAAGAAACATAGTGTAAATACCTGCATTTTGCAATGGTCTTAGGTGACCTCTGTGGAAGTGTCATTCATCCTCCAAGAGGGGTCTTGACCTACAGATTGCCACTGACATAGAGACTCCTGGTCTAATTGAACCGCGTGACCCGGATCAAGACTGGCTGATAGAACCCGCCCAGCAGAGTTTGGTCACATCTACAGGAAATGCTACTCTTATGATTAGCAATTATATTTGGATTCTACTTGCTCCCAGACTATCTCAGCCCCTGTAATGTGTCTTGTATAAAGAGAATGTCTGACTCTTCCCACTGACAGCCACTGGGCAATTGTGCTGAGGGACCGCAGTGAATTGGAGCAGTGCAGCGGAACCTGCTCTGCCTGGCTCCTGTCATGGCGGGAGGCAGACTTCAGGCTGCGTGAGCCATGAATCACCCATTCTGTAAAGTGATACCTTTGACTTAAGTTCCTTACTTTTTATGTATAAGTGCCGATATAGACCGACTGTTGTCAATAGGTTCATACCTAAAATACAATCTAGAGAGAAAAAGCTTTATTTTGGCTCGATGTTTTAGAAGCCTTGAACTGAAATAATGTGCAAATAGAATTATAAGAGTTGAGATAGGGATCCCTGATGGTAGAATTTTGGAGCCCTGTTATAATTTGGCTATTTTGGGATGTGTTTCTGCTAAGACTTAACCAATGAGCAGATGCAAGAGGAAGAAAAGCAACTGGTCCAGTGAGGAGAACCACAATTCGGTTTCCTTTACAGTCAGTGTCTGATGAAATAGGCCCATAAATCATCACGTGGACCAAGCGGGGCAACTTCAGTAACAATTTCCCAGCTAACGGAAAACCACTCTTTCCAACCGTCACCAAGTGGTTTTTATTACATTTCTGTAGTTTTAGCTACCAGTCCAAACAATACGATTCTATGATTAGATTGCTAAAATCACAATAACCGTCATGTCTTACCTTTTGTAGATTGAAGGTTAGTCAAATTATTCGTGCAAAAATATAGGATCTAATTTATGTCCACTGTTATGAAACTAATGCTTAGATTTTTTGTTGTATTTTTCATGTGATTCTGTTTCTCCTTTTTGAAAGATAAAAGTTGTAAATTTCATGATAAAAATATTTTGAAATATATTTAAATTGTGGAACGGCTAAATCAAGTTAATTGATATATACCTTGCTTAATATACTTACCATTTGGTAGTGAGAACACTAAAAATATACTTTAAAAAGTTGCTATTGCTGTTTTTGTTTCTTGAGACAATGTCTTACTCTATAGCTCAGGCCGACCTGGAACTAGCTTTGTAGACCAGGCTGGCTTCGAACTCACAGCAATCCTTTTGCCTCAGCTTGCCAATACTGAGTTTATAGTGTCAGTCAACTGCCAACCTTCCCCCCAGTATAATCTATTTTCATAGACAAAGTAAGCTACTTAGGAATTAAAGTTCAATTGTAATTCTTTACAACTGGGTTGGTTTGGTGATTTGTGTATTATGTGTCTTTGTGTGACATGACAGTTACCTGACATAGTAGCTGAAAGTATGTGCGGAACATCTTAAGAATGTTCTGGTTTGATTAGTGGGAGTACTTTGAGGATATAAGTTTGTACAGCAGAGGATTGACATGTCTGGATTGGTGATTTGAATCTGTAGCTGCTGGTGCCCTAGCCCAGATGTCTCTGGTTTCATGTATGTATGCTTTCCTGATTGCAAACTTCTTGTGAGTCTAGCTGTAGTTGTCCAGGTGCCATGGGGATATGTAGAAGAGGTGACATCATTCAGTGCTAATTACCTGAAAGTAATGAGAAGGTGTTGCGGGAGCTCCTTCGGCTCCTTCAGCCAATAGCCGCTGAGATACCAGCCCATTGGGGCATGGTCTCTCTCTCTTTAAAAAAGAGGCCACTTCCCTTCACTTGCGCTCTGGCTTCCGGCTCCGCTTCTGGTGACTAGGCTCCCTTCCTGATTGTGCAGAGGGCTGTTGTCTGGGACGGTGCCAAACGACACTGTCCGTGACAAGGGCTAGAGACTCTGTCATTAAGTCTCCTTTACTATTGTGTCATATACAGATTTACTGAGTATAACTTCTGTGTTTCTATCAATGTCTAAACCAATGGAACAATTAAATCACAGCTCTGTGGGTGGAGTCTAGGAATTCTTAAAAGTTTCCCTAGATTCTAATTGATTGCCAGTCAGGGTTAGGAATCACTGGTCTAGGACTTAGGGGACAAGTCTCTCTCTCTCTCTCTCTCTCTCTCTCTCTCTCTCTCTCTCTCTCTCTCTCACACACACACACACACACACACACACATGCAAGGAATGGAGTTCAATACTAGACTAGCCAAACTGGCAAACTCTGGGCTCAAGTGAGAGACCTTGACTCAATATATAATTCAATACATAATTTGGGGAGCAATAGAGGAAGACATCCAATGTCAACCTCTACATCATAGACATACTTGTGTGCATGTGTTTTCACACACATGCACTCCCACATGAACAGGCATACATGTGTGCATGTGTGCATGCTTACCACACATATGCATAAACTGATACATTGATCTAAGTTAGGATTAACAATATTGGGCACAACACTGTTTAAGACAGCCATGTGCTTCTCACCAGTAGATACCTCTTTACGGATTGTTCTTGGCCCATTAGTCAGTTCATTTTGTTAACTTCCAATTTTTCATTTCTATTGTTTACTGACTTTGTCAACATCCCGGCATTTGTGTAATTAGATTGTACAATTACTGTTATTTTTTTTTGCCATAGCATGAAGAAAAGTTGTTAGAAAATAAATGTTAAGGTGGACCTGGTTACACAGGTTTACAATCCCAGCCACTCAGCAGGGTGAGACAGAAGATCCCAAGTCAAGACTGGCGACATCATAGCTCAGAGGCCCAGTGCTTGCACTGGCCGCCACTCCAGGTGAGAAGAGCTTTTTAAAAAGCCGAGCTGACCTCAGAGACCTCTAGGTTTCCCCTCTTTATCGGTACAATGCATTGTCTAATGTCAGTGTCACTGGTGCCCTTTGTGGGGGTGACACAGAGCCTAATCTACCGAGCCCACACAATGCCTCCAGGGTCTATTCTCCTATACACAGCAACCTCTGTGGATTCTTCCTCTTGAGAAGCAATATATGTGGATGTGTATGTTCATATGTGTGCATGTGTGGAAAGTTGTGCAAAAGACAGAGAAATAGAATACAACAGAGAGGATGATATGAAGGAAGGAAGATGGGGTGGGAAAGGTTTGGTAATGACGGCTGATAGTCCCTTGTTTGTTCATTCATTCGGGAGGCAGTGGCGTGGATTTAGTTGGTTTTGTCCTAAAGCAGTTTTGTGCATTGGTTGCTAGTCTTAGTTGGGCTCCCAGTGATGCTTGGCTGGACGGTCAGCTTCCCCCCTGCCCCAAGACAGTTTCTCTGTGCAGCCCTGGCTGTACTGAAACTCACTCTGTAGACCAGGCTGGCCTTGAACTCACTGCTATCTGCCTGCCTCTGCTACCCTAGTACTGGGATTAAAAGCATGTCCCCCACACCTATCTTGGATAGTAAGCTATGGAATAAACCTGTTCCTGTGGTTCCTTGCTCTGGAGCCTAGCTTGTGGACTTGCTCGTATGGAAGCTTCCCTCCTGAAGATGGGTTCAGTGCCAGTCCACAGAGACTCCAGGTATGCTGGGGTCTGCCCCGCACTCACCCCTGGTTCCTACTGTATCCCTCACTGAACCTCTCTGTTAGCTCTTGCAGAAGATCACAGCTGTTTTTACGCATGTCCTCAGGGAGTCTCATTGTCTGTCCTGAAACAAGGTGAGGGCAGTGTTTATTTAACTCAGACCACCTCATCTAGCTTCAAAATTTGGTGGAAATTCATTAAACCTTTGGTGCTTGTCGTGATCACAAAATATTGGAGAATGACATTTTATTTACAAATCATTATTATTGTTTTAATAATACAAAGATACTTTGAAGTCTTCTGACCCCCCACCTATCACCAACCTAGAGGCTTGTCTGTTCTTGCTGCTGACCCAGTCCTCTGTCCTTCCCTCTCAGCACCTCGTTCCCAGACAAAATCCAGGCAACAAAGATGCAGAGCAGGTACTGCGAATTCGTGTGGATTTGGATCTATTGCCTGGTCCTGCCTATGAAGGGGCTGTAGACCGGAAAGATGGAGACTGTTGCAGGTGACCTGGAGTAGAAGCACAGAGTAGCAGGGACTTCCTTCTGGTCCCCAATTGCAGTCTTTGAGGGTACCGCTGGAGGCTGCTTTATTTATGTAGAACCCTGATGTAAGAAGAGTCCAAGGAAGGATTATTACTCTGGAAAGTTCTTTATGTGTGCCCTTCTCTTCCACTGTGCCTTTGTTATTGTCGTAAACTCTGAGATCCTGAACTTTGGCCCAGTTCCCAGACTGCACAGTGGTGTGAGCGAGATCTATTTAGTTCTAACAAACAAGGAACTTTATGGACTTTGTGCTTTAACACCTCCCTGTAGTTAAGAAAAGGATTCTGCCCCACTAGCTCTAATGCCAGCTCAGAGGGATGCCCACTTTGCTCCTAGAGGGCCCTGAAGCCCTGAAGTACAATCTTGCTTTGTGTTCTCCATTGTCTTGAACCTTACTTACCCTTTTATAACTTACCAAGAATATTAAGTCCCTTTTCAAATGTTACAAAAGATAAGTTAACATTATGTTTAGAACTGTCTAAAATGTCCTAAGTATCTAAATATCCTGGACAAACAAACAAGCAAGAAAAAAAAGTAGTGTGATTAAATTAACCTCAGAGGAGAATTTAATTTTTTCCCCTGGTAATTCTTCAAAATAGATACATCATTATTTGTAGGACATTGTTAGTTCTAGAATGGTTTTACAGAAGCGGAACCAGTAAACTAAGGCCCGAGAGCGGAGAGGAGAAGACTGCTCTGACGGATGCCTGGCAGATTTGCTTCGAAAGAGACATAAGCCCGGGACTCTTCTTGGCCCTGCTACTGAGGGTAGGCGGGAGGTGAGCTCCGAGAGCAGCTTGGTGACAGACTCCGATTCAGGCTGAAAGTGACTGTTCAGGCTGATTGAATTAATGTGAACCTTTCACTGTACCTCAAGGATCGGAGGACCCTTCCCCAAGAGGGAAGCTGGGCTTTCCATATTTATTTATTTATTTATTTATTTATTTATTTATTTATTTATTTATTTATTTATTTATTTATTTATTAAAAATTTCTGTCTCTTCCCCACCGCCGCCTCCCCTTTCCCTCCCCCTCCCCCAATCAAGTCCCCCACCCTCGTCAGCCCAAAAAGCAAACAGGGTTCACTGCCCTGTGGGAAGTCCAAGGACCACCCACCACCATCCAGGTCTAGTAAGGTGAGCCTCCACGAAACTGCCTAGGCTCCCACGGCTTTCCATATTTCTGATTCCCTGCACAAACACAGCGTTTTAACACAGGACATTACCTTTGGCGGCAGTCTTCAGACGGCCCTCAGCCTCCAGTTCCCTCATCTCATTCAGGGCTCGTGGAGGCTCTGAGGAGTGTGGACTGTGCTTACATGCGCAAGGTGACAGCACTTTCTGGCTGCGGAGGAACTCTCACCCTGGGTGCCGCACACTCTCCCATCCCGGCCATGCTCATTCCCTCTATTGTAACTGTGATTGTTCTTGTATCCTCAAGTGAACACAATCCCTACTTGTGAAAAAAGTGAAACTGTTGAGTATACCCGCACACATACATATAGTCTTTTTCACTATAGATACAGCATATGTGCATGCACACATATACACACACAAGTATATGTGTGTGTTTCACATACTCATACATATATGAACATATGTGCATACATGTATAAATACTTGCATATAGATATTGCCCTTACCATAGTCACAAATCTATAGTGAGCATAAACATACAAGTATAGTAAAGAAAATATGCATTAAGTATACCTCAACGCTGTTTTTTTTTTTTAATACACCTATTTTTTTTTATTTTTAGCTAACACAGGGTTTCTTTTGGTACCTCTGTGGGGGATGGGCACCCCTGGCATCAGGGGCTCCGCAGACTCATCAGGGGAGTCTTTCAAAAACACATATGTTTTTTATTAATTCTTTGAGAATTTCATACATTGTTGATCATATTCACCCCCCCCACACACACACACACAGTTCTAGCTCCTTCCAGATCTGTCCCTACCTCCCCACCCGTCCCAACTTCATGTCCTCTTTCTTTCCCTGTCAGGGTCATCCCGAGGTTACCTTAACTAGAGATGTCATACAAGAGGGCTTCCTAAGGGGAAATCTTGGTCCTTCTTCTCTGTCACTTAGTGCTTGTCACTTCCTTAAACACTGTCACCAGTGGACAAGTTTGTTTTCTATTTATTCCTGCCTTTCTGCCTGCCCAGCTAAAATGCAGACTTCCTCTATGTATGTATGGACTTCCATCTGTCCATATTCGCAGTCCTGGCTCAATGACATGATGCCTGGCACATAGGAGGTCCTTTGCAAGCAAGAGCTGAATGAATGAATGACGGTTAGGGGTAGCATGGCCTCTTCGTCTCACTACAGAAATATATTTTGCACATGGCTGGGATCCTGGCTGAGGAGACTGTTGAGATGCTGTTGGTAGCCACCATCTATAGCCACCTCTCCATACAGCCTCTTCTGCAGCGTTCCTTCGTCTGCATTGCTCCCGATTCAGAGCCCATGGAAACGCACCAGGCAACATTTGACTATTATGGAGGAGTCTGGTATAAGAGAGGCAGGTGCCAGAGGTGACTGTGCTGCCCGTGTGCCCCCCACACACATTCTTTGGGGGAAGCTTTGCATAAACGTGGGTGTTTCACACATTTCCTTGAGTGGCGCAAATGCCTTCTGGCCACTTCCTCTTTTACGCAAGCAGTCTGTGGGCATGGTTTCTCTTTGGTTTTAAATAGATCAGTTTAGAGGTGCCCTTTCCCTGAGCGGGATTTTTTGTCTTCCTGGAATCTGGACTGTATTATAGTAACGTTACACATGAGCATTCCTGTAGCAAGGAAAGGTAGACATTCATACAGTTGCCATGACATAGAGTGTCTCATCAGATGAGGAAGGCGGCTTTGATAATGTGGAAACCATGGTGCTCTTGCAAAAGTTCCTGGGTTTGATCTGTGGGATTCACAGAAGCAGGAAGTGTGCCCAGACAGCTCTAAGATCGTGAAGGGTTCCCTTCTATGATACGGTGTGGTAGGCAAGAGTAGAGAAAAAGTCACGCTATTACATGGACATTGAATGTGTTATTAATGCTTGTGCCTGGGGTTTGATTGGGAATAAAAAAAGAAAAAAGCTTCAAACTGACTTAGGCAAAGACAGATGTCAACAGAACATATAGTTAAAAAGTAAGTAAGAACTCGTGGGACCTACAGAAAGGCCTGTCTTAATTTAACTCTCTTTTAGATTTTATTCATCTATCATCTATCTATCTATCTATCTATCTATCTATCTATCTATCTATCTATCTATCTATCTATTTTCTGTGAGGTCTCAATGCAAGGTGTCAGGCTCAGGATTAGCCCAGACTGACCCGGAACTTTCCACCTTCCTGCTTCCATTTCCTGAGTGCTGAGGATGTAGCGTGCGCCGTCACTCTCACTGCCAAGGATGTAGCGTGCGCCGTCACTCTCACTGCCAAGGACGTAGCGTGCGCTGCCACACACACATCCAGTTTTCCTTTGTTATGGCACACACCCTAGCCTGCTGTCTTAGGTGTTTACTTTATTCTTAGGAGGTTCAGGATCCCAAGAGTAGTGCCCCTAGGGCTCCCTCCTTCCAGGTTAGAATGCAGTAGGTAAGAGAAAGTCTCTTGAGTCAGGTTATGTACCATTTTCTCACTGCAGAAATGTGATGGGGAAGATAGGCTGTGTGATTGGTCTAAGTGAATCTGAGCTTGACCCTGGAGTTGTAGATGGGAGTTGAACCCACTGCGATGGAGGACTGTTAGCAGAGGTGGTTGAGAATACAGTCAAATACACCTGCTGTTTACAGGATTGGCTTTGGAACACAGAAAGCAGATATGTGTGTGCGCGTGTGTAGAAACAATATTGTACAATATTATATAATATATATATACAGTATATATTATACTATACTTACATATATAAATATATACAGTTATATTATAGCTGAGACATCACAGACTAATTTTCATTTCTGGCGGAGGCAGCCCTTCTGTTGTCTGTTAGCCATGTGCTGTGGGCGTTAGTGCTGAAGTCTTAGTGGATGGGTGTGCTATCCAGGGACTCTCTTTCCCTTTGGTACTGTATTGGAAGTGTTTGAGATAGTCCTGGCCCAACATGACCAGTGGCTAGGAGCAGACTCGGGTTAAATGAGTAGCAGAACCAGAAATAAACTCCTGGGGGGGGGGGTGAAGCCACCCAGAGTGGAGTGGTTTCTTATTGTGACAGAGTTTGTCCTGTCTAGTACAGTGCAGTCACAAATCCCCTGGGGGATTAGCTCACAATTTGCTCATGAAATCCAGTATTTGTATAAATCTTTTGACTTCGCAAGATAATTTTAATTTGAGACCTCATCTCCATGATAATCCAGTGTGAGAAATATTTCCAGAGGAGCCCCGAGGAAAGTCCCCGAGTGCTTTGGTGTGAACTTAACAGTGCTTGCTCTTTTATCTTGGCTTTGTGTGTGTTCAGCAATACAGTTACACAGCTTGTGAGACTCTCAGTGTCAAAACAAACCCTTCCAGTTTACTGGCATTTTATGTGGTGGCCTGTCTCTGAAGAACGGTCCACTTACGCTTTCTGCCTCTCCTTGAGCCGTCAGTACTGAACATGTGAAGACGTTTGGCCACCGCTGCTGCTGATTGGAAAGCTGAAAGGAAGGTCTAGTTATCTACTCTTTTGGTCTTCGTTGGTACTTGTTAGGGGCCAGTGGAACTGCTCACAAAGGGAATTGCAAGGGAACTATAATTGCCCCCCAAACCAACAACAACCAGGACTGTAACTAAGGCGCGGACAAGGAGAAAAGAGGTAGACAGAAGGTAGCAGAAGGCTGGGGATGAAGAGTGGAGGCAAATGAAGGCTGTGGAGCAAGGAGCAACTGCTTGCACTGGGCTATAGCGTCAGCACAGCAGTGACAGCAAGGGCTCCAGGTGCAGGGTCCCTGTCTGGCATTACCACCCAGAAGCTATGGAACCTTGTATAGATTACTCTCTCTGAACGCTGGCTTTTCGTCCCATAGAATGGGAATAATTTCACAAGAATGTCCTGAGGATAGATCAAAGTACAAAATGTCAAGTTAGAACGGTATTCACCGTAAGGGCTTGGCTAACATTAGCCACCACCACAAACACCATTGTTTATTGCCATTCTCTCTACTGCCGATTTGGTCCAGCCTCCCTTCCTCTTAGTTGGATAACTCAAAGTCCTCTACAAGAACTCCTTCCAGAGGTATTGTTGTGTCACTTTTAGTTCCTTCCCCATCCAGTTATTTTCTAAAAATCTTGTCATTAACGTCTCCTGCTGTCCTGTTTTCTAATTGCCCGTCTTTTAAACTACGGCCATCCTCGTCAGCAACTGCAGCTCCACCGCTAGCAGCAGCGGCTAGGCCGCAAGAACCGCAGCCTGAGGAAGTTCTGTTCCCTCAGTCACTGGCTCTTTCAAAACTACCAAGAGAACTTATCTAAATCTCTGTCCTGCTAAAGAATTAAAGGTTTAAAGGTTGAGGTAGAATCCTGCTTCCCAGAGAGGCTGAATAGCAAGCAGCTCACCTAGCTCCCCTCCTCAAGTCTCCCGAGAGTTCTCATGCTACGCCTCACCCCTCCTTACAAACCCTTCTCCACCTGGCTCTCCCTACTACTTCCTGTCAGCTAGTGGCTGATGCAGTCTCTGGACCACAGGTGAATTTTATTTAATCATTAAACAAATGTTCCAGATTCTACAATAGTCTCCACTTAAAATCTTTCAGTAGCCGGCGGTGGTGAGGCACGCCTTTAATCCCAGCACTCGGGAGGCCGAGGCAGGCGGATCTCTGTGAGTTCGAGGCCAGCCTGGTCTACAAGAGCTAGTTCCAGGACAGGAACCAAAAAGCTATGGAGAAATCCTGTCTCGAAAAAAAAAAATCTTTCAGTAATTTATCCTTTGTTCTCCTGGTGTTGCCTTCCAGGGGGAAGGCTCCCTATGAGTGCACTGTTTATCTGCCCAACTTCTTACTCTGCCAAGCAAGAAGTGGAGTCACTTACCTAAGTTTGGAAGCATGACTGGCCTCAATATCCTGCCCCACCCTCACCTCCCCAAGAGAGCAAGCTTCCTCTAGAGAGATAATTTCTGCTCATCCATGGGTAGGCTCTGCCCTACTGTGTGGAAGTCCTAGCACGGCTCAGCTTCACCTATGATGGTATGTTTCATCATTAGGGCTAATTAACTAGCTGACTAAGACAGCAGGCTTTCTTTTGGACCAGCAGCCAGCTCCTAAATAATGACATGGAGACTTATAACTCTCCTTGAATAATGAATGCTCTGCCTTAGCTTAGATTTGTTTCTTGCTAGCTCTTATAACTTAACCTGTTTCTCTTCATCTATTTTTGCCTCAGGGAGCTATACTTTTCTTTTTTTCTGTATGTCCTACTTTCATTGCTTCCTCCATGGCTGCCTGGCTGGCTGGTCCCTGGGAGGTCTCTCCCTCTTCTCCTTCAT